TTTTTATTGACTGGCGTTTAAGGTACATCACTTATCTAAAATCATGCAACCACCAACTAAGTCTAAATCAGTTTTTAATACATTTTTACTCTTACTTTTACTCATGTCCATAACATGTCTTTGAAAACTTGATAGGGTTATTGCCCTTGATTTACAAATTCCTTACAAGACAAGATTATTGCACTTCAATGTATGTATAATAAGATAGTACAAGATAATATTATAAGATATACTAGTGATATATAAGAAGTAATGATGTTGTTGATAAGCTATGTACTAGGTATTCAACATCTCACATTATCTCATATATTATTGGAATTCTTTTTTATAACATATAAATTTTCTTTTTTTCAACAGAAGGTAGAACCATAGAAAAACTATTTGTGGATCCTTTGTCCTTAGTGGTGCATAAAAGCTGTGAGGACCAAATTTTTATTTAGGTTGGCTGTGAATAATTCCATTGACATCATTGATTGGGGAAGACACACCCAAGTCCATGTTCTTTCCAGATTGTACCCAATTAAAGTTTGGTTGACTTCTTAGTGCAGTTATGAAGGATGATTCCTTTATGATATAAATTTTGTTTAGAAAAATTTTGAATATTAACTGTGCTGAACTCCTTGTGTTTGCTCATTTTTTTTTACCAATTCATTCTTGGCCACTTTTTATCTTTACCACCATCTTGTAGCAAGTGTGAGAAATATGTTAACTCTATGATAGTTGTAACACCTTAGCGATGGATACCTGTAGTTTTTGGAATTGCCTCAAAGAAAAAAGAAATGGTAACAGAAAGCTAGAAGATAAACCTTTAACCACTTAAATCAACATTTAAGCCACATTTGAGATAGTTTTTCTCCATTTGAGAATTTGATTTCTGCTATCATATTTTATACCTTCTGTCTGCTTAGTGAACTCCAACTGATTTCACGTTACAGTTCCTTGGGGTAAATTCTCCAGTTCGTGATCTGAGTTGATTCTTATCATTCATTTAATCCAATATAAGTAAACAGTACGCTATATTGTTGGTAATTTTAGATACAGGTCATTATATGGTTTACAATATGACAAAGTGTCATTTTTATGCTAGTTTAGTAAATTGTTAGAAATGTACTGTTCTTTATAGAAATATAGGTGAAGTTGATTGACATGTATACTAAAAGTAGAAAATGAGTATCTAAACAGCAAAGGAAAATATCAAGCACAGGAAAATAAATGTGGCAAATTTGAAATTCCTCTTCATGATGTTGGTATTGAAAAGCGAGGACCAATTACCTTTGTACAATGATCATAATAATAATATATACTGTTTAAAGCATCACATCACAATCGATCCCAATGTTCTGTACATTGTAAAAATCATAGTACAGAACACTATCACAAAATTAGATACAACAGTTCAATGAATGTATAAAGAGGCAGAGTATACCTCTAAGATATTGGATTTCTCTTTTATTATATTCTGTTCAGTTGCAATTAAGAATTGTAAAGAAAAGGAGTAAGATTTCAATAAACATTTGCTATAATATTGGGTACCATAAAGGTGTATCTAGTATCTAGTTTTGGAATTGCCTGCAGTGCATATTTTATATATATAGTAATTGTTCAGCTGCTTATTATTCTGGAAACAATTTAAAAGAAGAAAAATAAACATCTATTCTCTTGAGGCTAGCCTGTAGTTGTTTTTAGGTCATTTCATCAAATATATCATAAACTCAGAGATTGTGAATTACTTAAATTTCCACAGAAGGCACTTTATCATAAGGTCAAATGAAATAATTTAACATCGAATAAATTTAGAGCGGAATGGCAAAAAGCCATAAATGAAAAAAAAATCTCAAAACAACATTACTGGTGAGCAGTAAGCAACCGTAAGTCCTAATTGTTTCTTGATGATGATGATAAATGAAGCCCTAGACCAAACTCAGTAATCTTATGTGTCATATTTCTTTACTAGTTTTTACACCCACTGTTTTTTCAAGTCTGCCAGAAAATCATAAAATTTCTAAAAATAGAATATTTGTGAATGTTTTTTCGATTAATGGCGTAATTATGCTTGTTAGAAATCTGTAAAGAGAATACCTTCAGTGTTAGTCTTTTTATCTTAGAGATAATATTTTCGTGGGGAATTTAGTTTATGATCATATTTTTGTTATGGTTTGTTTTATATTGTAGTAAACAAACTATTGCTCATTTTCTTGACTGCTTATCTTGATGAGTTTTAAAATACTCTAATATTTTAATGAGCATTTGATAAGGAGTTCTTTGTTTGTACAGATGAGATTTGGCAATATTAAGTACACACCATTGTCTTTTTTTTGGCTAATCTGAAAACTTATGGGATAATCTGAAAACTTATGGGCTATGTGCTAATGGGCTATGGGTTAGCCTGAAACCTAAAGGGCTACAGGTTAGCCTGAAACCTAATAAGCTGTGGGTGAGTCTGAAACCTAATGGGCTATGGGTTAGCCTGAAACCTAATGGGCTATGGGTTAGCCTGAAACCTAATGGGCTGTGGGTTAGCCTGAAACCTAATGGGCTGTGGGTTAGCCTGAAACCTAATGGGCTGTGGGTAGTGCTGGGTATCGTCAATCAAGTCACTATACTATATTAACATTTTATCTTCAAAGTTTCAATATTTATACCTTTATAACTTTATAACTGTGATATTTGTTACTACAGCTGATAGAAATGGTTAGCAACCACTGTCTTATAGTGAAAAATTGTTATATATCAGAAAACAACTTATAAAAATCAGCCCTTTTTTTATGGAGTAAAAGTATCGATACATAAAATCGCGATACGATACGCATAATGTCGCATGTTGTATAGCAATACATTGATTCACTGATATATTGTCCCAGCAATAGCTGTGGGTTAGCCTGAAACCTAATGGGTTGTGGGTTAGCCTGAAATCTAATGGTCTATGGGTTAGCCTGAAACTTATGGGCCATATCTGAAACTATGGGCTATTGGTTAGTTTGAAACTTACAGGCCTGAAATATAATGGGCTGTTTAGGTCGTTGGGCTAGTTTGAAAACTTCAATTCATAATGAGTTTTGCCTGACAGTACTAAATGGTCATGTTCTGTTAGTTCCTATTTCACAATTTTACCAAAATTTCCATCTTACTTACTTAAACAACCGGATTTATTTCGAAATATTTTTAAAATCAATACTTCTCTTGTGAAACTTTCCTGTACTCTTGTGAAATTTTCTTAATTTTAATTGGTAAATTTGAGAATGCAGCCAATTATATTGAAGTGCTGTAAACAAGTGTATATGTAGTATGAAATGTTAAAATCTCTGCTCCCTGTTGATTAATAATTACAAACTATGTTAATTAAACACATGCTTACAAATTTCATTTTCACACTTTCTTATTTCAAAGTTTAAGTGACGCGTCTCTTAATTATTCAGATATAATTTACAAATTTACTTCAAAAGATATAAGGTTAAAGATCTTTCAAAATTTGCTCATGAATTTGTGTAATTTGTGAAATGATGGTAGATATATACAGTCAAGTAACCTAATTTCGTGGAAACCTATTATTCGTGGATTTCTGGAAATGATTAATAATTTACATGAGCGACCTTGTGCGACCTCCGCATTAGTTTCTTTTAATAAACATGGGTTTTCTCTACAATATCAGCTAGTAGAATGAATCCAGTAGTTTCAAGCAAGGTAAAATGTAATAATGTATACTTTGACAAATACAAAATGGCGGATTTCACTTATTACCAAACGATACCATTTTTTATCGGCCGAATTTCCTTATGATCCCAAGCAGTAATTGGAATTCCAAGTGTCGTCTGCTAGATTATATTCCAACGAATGAAGTCACGTGATCAACTAGCGGATTCCGTGTCAGCAGAAAATTTCTATGGAACACAAAGTGGACCATATTCTTATGTTGTTTCAGTGACTTTTAGCAATAAATCACGCTACGTGTCTTATTTTGTCAGTCACTATTTTTTTTTTAAATCGTGGTTCTTTGAAGGAATTGACACTAGTTATAATGAATTGATATTAAAGATAAATACTAAGAGAAGTTAATTATACCATCCGGGTATCCATACAACGTGTTTTTCTAGACTTATTTATAGATCAAACATTGTACACGAAAATAGGTGAGGCATTCTGCCGCCGTTGCCGAGTTGGTTGCTCATGAAATATGGGTCAAAGTGAAGGATTCATAAAGAAAATCGAAATAAACCAATTTTAATTATCTTGTAGAATATCTGAGGAAACATCTAAGACATAAAAATTTTTTTTCGTTTTTTTAACTTTGACGAAATTCAGTGTTTAATCCTTATATCCACGAAAATAGGTTACACCACTGTACTTCAAGATACAATAGATTAAAAAAATTTCAATTCATCTGAAACTATGATTAAATAAATGATTAACATTTCTTGGAACAGGGTGACTTAAATGTTGCTTTGAGTCATGTTAAATGCATAGTTTGAATGTAAAAGCAATCATGTTATTCAGGTGACTTTCAAATCTGAACTAAGTGTACTTACTAGTTTGTGTTGTGTTTAGATGAAGGTCAGTTTTATCTGACAAGTACATTTCTAGAAGGTTGTATCACTTTAATTACAGAGCAAATATCATCACAATCTGCTGTTAATTTCAATATATTTCAACATTCTCTCTAGAACTTTCACACATCATCTCTTATAATAAAGATATATCATTGATATGAGAAGAAAAATTCAAGTGCCTATATACATTACATTTTGACCCATTCATAAATATTCAACAAAGTGTATATCATATATTGTAGTTTCTGTGTAAGAGCCTTGTTTTAACTTGAAATTTTTTGTGATCTTGATTTTTTTTTGTATCCCAATATTTGAAAGGGTTTTTTTCATGTCAGTGGTTACAAGTACATGTATTTGTAATATTTGATCAGTTTGCATGTCATTATAAATTGAATTGCATTTTGCAAAAAGAAAATCAGAAGGTTAACCTCATACTGTGTCATTTATATTTTTTAGGTTATTGTGGATGATGTTGCTGTCTCTAAGGTTTACGAATTTCCCTGTCAACGTTGGTTAGCATCTGATGAAGATGATGGTCAGATCTCAAGAGAACTCATCCTCAATTCTGGACCTAATGATGCCGCTCAAGGTTAGTTTTGCTTCATTTTTAATTGAACATGTTAACCTTCAAAATAATGATCATCTTGAAACTAACAAACTCAGTGATGTTTCCTTGTTGTGGTATTGTAGTGAAACTAAAATTTCCAAAAAAGTATCTGGCCCTTCAATCTGAAAGCATATTGATTCTTTTAAAGGGATTCAAAAGAAGTTTTTTTTCATTTTTGGAACGCCCATTGGAGACACTCTTGGCTCCTCATATATTTCTTAATGAGCTAATTATGATGTCACTATTGCAAATACCATTTCTCTCCAATGATATTCACAATAGTTCATCAGAATCTGGAATTAAAGGAATTGCCTTGTCCAGAAGTATGACAATAGTATCTCAGTTGTCCCAGATACACATAGGAAAGCTGAAAGACTCTTTTTGCATCCTTGCAAGATTTACTGTAATGATTTAAAGGGACAATCTGATATAATTTAGACATGAAGTACTGGTCTTTTTGAATTTTTTTAGCTGTTTGTGACTTAATACTTGAATATTCCTCAACATGTTGACATGCAGATTAAAGTATTTCACTTTCCAAGACATGAAAAGTATCAGAAAAAATTAGATTGTCCCTTCAAATTACTCCTGATAATTCTAGAACTACTTTTTAAACGAAAGAGCATGACTTTACAGTCGTAGTTGGATTCAATTTTTAACATTAATGTATGTGTGTTACTAGAGTAATTATTTATCATAATTAGTTTACATATCTAACAAGAATTATTTTTTTAATTAACAATTCTAGGTCTAGGTAAAGTATTTAATTATTAAATTATAGAAAAAAGTTAAATGTAGTGTATGAAATCTTTTTAAAAATTAGTTTGTATACTAAATATAGTTGTTCTTATAGTATTAGTATTGGGTTTCTAGTACTTTGTATGTTGTAGTAATTTTCGTTGTACAAATCTATAGTTCTCGTATTTAATTCTTATATCAGGCTTCAAAGTATTTTCAAATATTTCAACATGACTTCTACTTATTTTGACATCAGCAAAGAAAAACAGAAAGAAAGTTCAAGAACTTGCTATTATAGTCTGTTTGATTTTTTGTCAAAACAAGGTTTGGTTTAACTGAAATTGAGCTTTCAGGTAGTTAAGCAAAAAACAAGACTATTTCCTTTTGAAAATTATTTTGAATTGAGAAATGTTTCTGTAAAAGGAACATTTAGTAGAAGGACTCATTTGAGGTTGTCTATCAATCCAGAATATATCTGCTTCTGCTTATCTGGGTGGAGTCAAATCTTTCAATGGGGGAATCAACTATTTGACTTTACAGGTTAAAGATGACATTCATCATCCCATAGCCTGTTACACTGGGAGCTCACCAAACCATAATCTATCATGGTTCACACTGGAAAGAAACTTTTGAAAACATCAAAAGAGTACCTGTAACTTGTTGTTGTTAAGTGTAAATGTTGTTTTATCTGTTATCTTCTTTTATTTCATTCTATAAGATGATGATGATGATGATGATGATGGTAGGTCAGAATGATTTCCTGCATGATTTAAGTATCAACTAGGATATATACAAATAGAGCATATCACATACTGAAATCCAATAGGATTTAAATGAAACAAACGATATAGGGAATGATTTTTGTGCATTTTTAATACTTAATAGAATTTCAACTAGTACAGCATGATTATAAATATTCTGAAATGATTACATGACAAATTTGATATTTAATAGGATTTCTATTGATGAATCATGGAATTGAATCTATTTAAAATTTTGTATGATATTCAGCTACTGAAATAGGACAACAGCATGTAGTTATACTGGTAAATCATGAAATAAAACATGATATTGAAGTTTAGGTATTTTATAGAAAATTTATTGACAAAACGTGAAATAAACCTTTTTTGAATGGGTAAATAATTCAAATAAATAGCTTATCGTATACTTTGGACTTTGTGTAGGAGAATTAAGATTTGGCATGATAATAGTCTGTTATGAGATTGATTTGAAATATAATGAAATGACACTATTGCATGTAGGATAGCATAGCATGAACAACATTTCAACAAATTAGCATGTTAAACGGACAGATGCACCATTTTTGGACCAATCGTATCTTACTCACAGAAACTGGAATAGTGTTTTGAGCCTTCAAATCCATGTTTAACCAGAATTATCTGCATTTGAATGTTAAAAATTATATAGAAATACAGAGATGTGAAAAATGATGAAAACTCATTACATATATTCAAGACCCAAATAAACCCCTGAAAATAGAGAATTTGTCCCTGAGTTTGAATACTATATATATGTAGCAGTACTCTTATGGAATACAAGAAAAATGCCATATTTAGATTGAAATCAAAATAGGGATGTAAATGGTTAAATGAAAAAGGAACAGTAAAGATAGATTTTCTATGGTATTGAAAAACCTGTGATCTTGATTTACTATGAATAGAAATTAGTTACATTTGTACACTAATATATTTTAAATCTTACAAATTGTAAGCATTAAGCCTTCTAATTAGAGCAATATGGTAAAATGATTTCCAATGTGGTTCAGATCAGTAAATTTTATATCTACTCTAGTAAGAAATGGCCTTGGGGTAGATATGGGAGTGTGTCTTACTGTCAGAGGAACCCTTGATATTTAACCCACTTTAACCATAATGAAGTAGTTTTTGACGTCTGCCTGAGACTGCCAAGGGCCAAGATATTGAAATTGTTTAGGTATCTATTCCAGGTGTGCCCCAATATAATAAAAAAGAGTTATTGTCTCAGTTTGTCTTATTAATGCATTGATCTTGGACAAGAACAAAATTTCATAAAGAGAAGCGGTAGTCAGTTTGCGGCATGATTTCTTGATTGCATCTTTAATAAAATATACAAGGCGTGGCAACACATGTTTTATATTTTTAATCAGACCGATTTCTATGAGAAATTGAGGGTTTTAAATTTGAGCTTTGGGCTTGAACATAGAAAGCAGATAGTGCCTAGAACAGCTAGAAGTTTACTGAATATAATATCATTTTTATAGCAAATTAAATGACAAACAAATTTTCATGAGTTTTTTCTGTCTTCACTTCAAAATTCTTTTCTTTTGTTTCACATTTTGACATTTTCTAGTATCTTTCAGATGCTGAACTAAAAAGTTTGAAAATTGATAAGCTTGAATAGAAAAATTGAATTCAAATATTTTTCAAAATCTTTATTACAAGAAAAAAAAAAGATTGAACCTGTCAAAATTGTCAACATCAACAAACAAAATCAACTAGATTAGATAGAATTTACTCTTAAATTTCAGGTTTCCCTTATGTCATCACGGTGGTGACAGGAGATAAGGTCAGTGCTGGTACAGACGCTAGAGTCTGGATTGTTTTACATGGTGGTAAAAATGGCAATGAATCTAGTGGCAAGATTTGGTTGGATTCTGGTAAATTTGAAAGAAACAAGACAGATCTGTTTAATGTGAGCATTGCCAGAATGCTTAGTCCTCTGTCACGAATTGACATCGGCCATGATAACAAAGGTGCTGCATCTGGTTGGTTTCTAGACAGTGTGACTATATATTGTCCAATGTCTGGTATTGAACAGTTTTTCCCATGTGGAAAATGGTTGGCAATTGATGAAGGTGAAAGAGTCATCAGTCGTACCTTGTATGAACAAGAAGCCAGGCGGAAAAAGAAACAGAAGAGTAAGTTTACACACTGATTTTCAATGGTAGCCTACAGCATAAGTCCCTTTAATATCCGTCACTCCATGCCATAAAGTGCTGCTTGTTTTTGATATTATCATGTGCTGTGCTTGAATCAACATAATGGTATTATATTTGGCGCAAGATAGACGGTTAAACTTTTCATGGCTTGACATAAATAGCATTTAATCTTGTTTTTTTTCAACAGGTATTTTGATAAATATGTTCTTAAAAATTGGTTTGTTTTCACACAGAATGTCTCTTAATGTGGCAAAATTCATCATGGCAGTAATGGCAATCTTGATTTGTCCAATAATTAGTTGATAGAGTAGAAAGTAAAACTTCATTTTCATTTTAAAAAAGATTAAGTTGTATATTGTTATGGTTTATTTCAGAAAATAATTGGACAGTATGGGTATATACATCTGATACAAGGAATGCTGGTACTGACTCTAATGTGTTTATATGTCTCTATGGTGACAAGGGGAAATCTGATGACATACAACTAGAAGGGAAGGGGGATTCTTTCGAATCCGGAAGTAAAGATATATTTAATATCAATATTACTGATGTTGGTAAACCATATAAATTACGAGTTTGGCATGATAATAAAGGATTAGCACCAGGGTGGCATCTTGAAAAGGTAAATTCCTGCAGTTCCATTTTAATTCCATAAAAGTAGCCCATCAAATTATTAGTCTTTTTTATTGAGCAATCAAACTGATTATTATGTAAATTTTTAGAATAGAAGTATGTCGAAAATTTGACGTAAAATACCTGTCAAAGGTGATTAGTCAAATATATTTCCATTCATTTGCATCTGTAAGATTCACCATTAGTTTACGATACACCTCTGGATATTTCATTTTATATATTTGCTGTGTGTTTCTTAATTTTTTTTATAAGATAGTGAAATGATCTGTAACATAATGTTTTTACGAAGTCAACAAATTGATTTCATCTGGGTATGCAAATTGTCCTTGACATTCCCTTCAAGGAAAATTGTCCATTATTGATAATTTGATTATTTGTATAGTTTGATGAAGCCAATTTATGAAGATGACAATAATAATTCTGATCTTCTATAAAACAGTAATTATTCCATGATATACTAATGAATAGAATGACTGACAATGGCATAAAAACACCTTTGACCTCTTTGACTTTCTCTGATTGGAAACTTTAGATTTACTGCTGTGATTCTGTTTAATGAAAAGAATCAGATAATTGGCTGTTCTTTCCATTTTTAAGCATTAAAGGGTACTTACGAACTGTGACTGCAACAGTGACCTTTCTTGTATCACAGATGTTTTAAAATCCAGCGATTTGATTGGATTGTAGCTTACCAAATACAGCCATTTAGAGCCCTCAACTTCCTATAAACCATAAGTCATAATGTTCACAGTCTTTCTGTCCAGGACTCTGATTTGCTGTATTCACTAGAATGCAATCCTATCAAATCACTTCATTCCATGATACAAGAAAGGTGGCTATTGCAGTCAAGGTATTAGATGCAGTTTGTAACAGCTTGGCATTGTCTAGATGTAGAAGGAAATATTTAGAAATTCATGACAGATTTTATATCTGAACTGAAGACTCGTTATATTTAAAAAATGTGGGAAAAAAAACAAATCAAAATCTAGCCTTTTTGATCAACTTCTCTGGTTGGCAAAATTTGTAGCAGTAGGAAAATGGAAAAAGATCGAAAAGTTCAATTTCTTATACTCCCAAAAGCTAAATAGACAATATTTCAATTTATTTTTTATTCTATTATAGATTGAGATGGAGAGTCCAGTATCTAAAGAAAGATATAAGTTTTACTGTGATAAATGGTTAGCTAATGATGAAGGTGATCAACAGATTGTAAGAGAAATGCCTGCTGAAGGACCTGGTATTAAAAAGCCTTTACCTTGTAAGTACACACCTCAATTCTGCTGCCAAAATTTACTTTTTTATGCAGTCAATCATTGCGTAAACCATTGCATATTGTGTAAATCATTGTACATTGCGTAAATCATTGTACATTGCGTAAATCATTAAACATTGTGTAAATCATTAAACATTGTGTAAATCATATCATATTGTGTAAATCATTGCACGTTGTGTAAATCATATCATATTGTGAAAATCATTAAACATTGTGAAAATCATAAAACATTGTGTAAATCATTTCACATTGTGTAAATCATTTCACATTGTGTAAATCATTACAAATTGTGTAAATCATTGCATATTGTGTAAAACATTGTACAATGTTTCAATCATTCCACATTTCTCATGTGTAAATCATTTTACAAAGAGTAAATTGATGTTAAATCATGATTTTGTTAATATATTGTTATAATTTTCATACTAATAAATTATTGGTAATATATTTCAGTGGAGAAATATAAAATTGAAGTTCATACAGGGAAATGTAAATATGCTGGTACAGACGCCAATGTTTTTGTCAATATATTTGGTGAACGTGGTGACACTGGAAACCGTTTCTTACGTCATTCTGACAGTAATATCAATAAATTTGAGAAAGGAGATGTATGTATATCTTTTTGTTTAAAATTTATTTTAATTCATCTATTCCTCTATTGAAACTTCATTTAATACTTCATTTGTTATTTCCACAAGATTGATTTGACCATTATAACCTCAAACAAAACTATTCAGTCATGATATTGAGAGCAATTCATTTTGACGAAATTAATTTTTACACCTGGTCATTCCTTCAATTGGTCATTTCAGAACCTACATCGTTTTTTTGACTGAAACTAATAATCCCTAAGTGATATTACGTAAACAGGATGATCTTAATGGATACTGGCTCAAAAAAAAAAAAAAGATAGTTTTCTGGAAATGGCAAAATATTGCAATAAAAAATGGCCAGGCTTGAAAATGATCAGATACTAAGATCAATTGCTACCATAATAGTAAAATAGCATGACAGAGAAGGATTAAGTAAACTGATCAGTTTTTTGTTAACTTGCTGATTGTCAATTTTAACAAGAATCTTGTGGAAATAAAAATACTGTTCTAAAAACAATAAATTAACTTTGATATTTACATTTTTTCTTAGGCTTTACAGAGGAACCAGGTACTTTGTATCCCAATACCTTCAACTTATATATGTTCAATGTTATCTTTTATCATAATCAGCATGATTTTAATTGAGGTTTCTAGCAGTGATGGGCACCTGTAGTAGATTTTGAATAAACTAAAAATTATCTGTACTAGGGAGTGAGTTAGGTCCAATGTCAGATGTGGGACAGAATAGTACTGTGAATTTTTCAAACCCTCAGTCAGTGATTAGACTGGAGACACTGCCATAGATAAAGCTCCTAATATGGGATAAAAAATAAAGCTGTAGGCTTAATACAGGTGGTGCATATTAAAGCTGTTAGAAATAGGAAAATATTGCTTATTGCACACTGCATGCCATTGCATGATAGAATATTTATCAATGACTTAATAGCTATATGGGTGAAAGATTTCTAGGAAAAACAAGGCAGCCAAAGTATTTTATTATTATTTAATTTAGTAGAAAAAGTAGCAAGTCTGTTGTAGAATACCGTACTATATTTTTCCGTCTAAATTTTTTCAAAGCTTTCAATGTATAGCAAATTTTATGTTGCAGTTCCCAACTTGTATCATTTCAATTGAAATATGTTTAGTATTTTATAAATAAGTGGTAACTGTTTTTATTTCTATTTTAATGTTTTATCTAGTTTTATTATATGTTTACCCTATTATAATGTGGATATAATATTGTCTGCCTACAGATTTTTATGTCCAGTTACATTTGCATTAGATAGAGATAACAGTTTAGATCAGATTGCCATGATTTGTTCTTATGCTGACTTTTTGCCCCTGAGTTTGAATATTTGGCTTGTGAATACTTTGTTTATTATTGAAGCAAAACAAATCAATTGTTATAGCTATACAGTTTACAAATAAGGACAAACAGCTATAATACATATGTATAATACATACATATACATGAATATATACATACATAAAGACTAATTAGGTGTACTTATTGACTGACTTGAACGAGAAGTGACATTTTCGCATATAATTATCAATGACATCAGCAATGTTTTAGCGAGGAAAGAGAAGACATTGTGAATATTTACAGATGTAATTGTTTCTTTTGTTGTTCCAATATTTTACGAGTTTACCTCTGTAGTCGAATCTGGTACAGGTGCTAAAACACCAAACATTCTAAAACAGTCATATTCAGATAATGACCAGTAATGACCATAAAAATATTTGTAGTGAAGGTCAATATAATACTGTACATAAAAGCTGTAATCTGATTTTGATGAAATTGGCTATGCAGATTTTTTTGAAAGATTTTGGAAATAATTTAAGTTTTGTTATTTTGATACTTTTGGTAATTTTTTTTATATTTTGATGTTAGTTGACAATTGGTCATTCTCAATGGACTTGCTATTACTTACTTTTTCTAAAGTAGGCCATGTTTATTCTACTATTATAATTTGTAAAATGTTCAATGATTCACTCACTTGAGTCCAGAGTTCACTGGTTCACTCACTTGAGTTCAGTGTTCATTTTGGGTTCACTGTTCACTCACTAGAGTATAGTGTTCACTCACTTGAGTGCATGATCAAACAATTAAGTTTGATTGAAAGTTTAGGGCCACTAAATGAGTCCAGTGTGCTCTAACTTAAGTTAAAAGTTCACTCACTTGGGTTCAGGATCACTAAATGAGTTCACTGGAACTTGTATTTCACCATTGCATGATAGAATTTTCAAATTTCAGACTACATCTATATTATTTGAACAGATAATTTATTCATCTAAAACACTTTAATCCTTCTGTAACAAATTTATCATCGTTAACAATTACTATATATTAAATGAAAATGAACCTGGCCTCTATTTGCATGTTCATTCTATCTGTTTATCTTCTAGGTTGATGAATGTGAGATTGAAGCTGTTTCACTGTCCAAATTAAAGAAGATCAGGGTCGGGCATGATGGCAAAGGTCCAGGCAGTGGTTGGTTCTTGGATAAAATTGTGGTCAAACAAATTGGTAATCCCAAATATGACACCACTTTCGAATGCAACAGGTAAGCAAACTTTGTAATGTTAACAGAATAAAATGCTTGAACATCCCAGAATGAACTATTTCAATTAGGCAAATTGACCAGACTATTGTGGATTTGCAAAGTAAATACCTTGAGCGAGGTTCAAATCCATGAATCTTTATAAAATGTTCATGGCATTTCATATAAATACTACCCTTACTGCCCTTAAATTGAGGCAAATTTGATAAACCAAATCTGACAGATTGCGTTTCCGCTTACAGATGGCTAGCAGAAGATGAAGATGATGGAGCTATAGAAAGGGAGATAACTGCCAGCGGATCTCAAATGTTAAGTAGTAAGTAGATTTATATGTTGCCATTCCTCTTCTGTTTCTGGAGATAAGACTAGTTTGCAGCTTCAAGTAGTTTTGTTGATCATTGACTTTGAATATTGTATCTTCAAATTATATTTCAGCTACCTCATATCATGTGCAAGTGAAAACAGGTGATGTAAGAGGTGCAGGAACAGATGCCAATGTTAGTTTGAAGATTTTTGGTACTAATGGTGATACAGGTTCCATACAGCTCAGACAATCTGATTCTGCTGCTAATAAATTTGAAAGAAATAGAACTGACACTTTTAAATTAGAAGCAACAGACATTGGAAAGGTAAGAGTATTCAAAACCATAAAAAGAAAAAACTCGAAAAAAGGGTTTTTAAATTGGTGCTTTAAGGGCCTTAAAAATTTAGCATTTTACTGATTTTATTTTTGGTATAACATGAAAAAAAGACTTTTTGTTATTTCAATGAATTCAGAAATGGAAACTAAAAGGGATTAACTGAGAAATTATCCAGTCTTAGTATTTTTCTATGGCTTATGAAGCCACACAGCTGTTAATTTAAATCTTGGTGTTGTTTTTTTAGATTAAAAGAATTAAAATAGGACATGATGGTACCAAGCCAGGAGCAGGATGGTTTTTAGACAATATAATTATTGATGTACCATCTAAGGGCAAACATTATGAGTTTGCTTGTCATCGCTGGCTGGCTAAAGATGAAGAAGATGGATTAATAGAATTAGAGTTGGAACCATCTGTATCTGAAGCTAGAGATAAAAGTAAACTTCTATATTTGAATATTTTAAAAATAAAATTTAGGGTATTATAGAAATATTTACAACAGAACAGACCATATGTGGTAAAAATTAGTGATAGAGTTTTTATGCGTGAATCTCCCTTTGTAAAGGATTTCAATTGGCATCCAAATCTCTTTGCCACTTGAATCCCATTTTCTCATAAACCTTGTGGAAGTTACAGTTCTTGGAACTGAAAGTTTCTTGTCTTTTTGAAGGCCATACAGAAAAACTGTTATATATATAATGAATTTCAAGCCTTAACAGCAATATATTCATTGATGATTGAAACATAAAGGAGTTTCTAAATATTTTCCCAAAAAAGCCAAAAATCAAAGGTTAATTCAGGGAGATTGGTACTGTTTGCACTATACCAAAGAAAATTTGTACACTGGCATTCAGTTTGTTAATACTAAAACTGTTTTCAGATATACCATATGAGGTCACAATATGGACTTCAGATATATCCAGTGCTGGAACAGATGCCAATGTTTTTATACAAATGTATGGTGAAAATGGTAAAACAGACGAACAATTCATGCAAAATAAATCAGATGAATTTGAAAGAGGAAAATGTGATAAATTCAAGGTAATGCATTTCTAAACCCATGTCTTCAATTGAATTTTATGAAAATTGAATGCACATTTGTATTATTTGATGCCTGTGAGATTAAGACAGTTTGGTTTTTGAGATGAACCAGTCACAAGAAACTTCATGTTTTTATGAGTATAAAATGGTATTTTTTACCATAATGCTTCAATCACAGTCATATGAAAGTGTTATGATTTGAAAAGTCTCCTTGTCAAATGCTATGTGTCTAAGATTATTGTGTTGATTATTTCAGATTGAGGCAGCTGATGTGGGAAGATTACATAAATTACGGATCGGCCATGATGGTGCTGGCAGATTTGCTGGCTGGCATTGTGAAAAGGTTGGTCCTAATTTTATTTTTCAGTCTTTGATCTCTGGCACATCATAGCAACAGACTGTGTTGACATCGTGAAAAAAAATAACCTGAACAGCCAAATTGCGATATCAAAGATGAAATGATTGATGAAGAACCACAATGAGGCCAAATTTAGTATGATCATGGTAATGTTATGGTTCAAGAAGTTTAAGGAGTATCTCATATTTTTAGATTCTTATTCAAAGAAGACCAGTTCCTGGTACCAAAAAGCGTCGAAGGAGACCGCTTCAAAAACAGAAGAGTAGATATCTTGATCGTGATGAGTATGATTCAGACTCTACCAGTCCCTCGACTTCACCTCACAGACGACAACTTCGACGTAAAGGTACCAAGTCTAATCTAGAATCAGTGAGAGAAGAGGAAGAAGTTTATGATGGAGAAGAAACAGAAGATTATTGGTTCTTTGTGGACCGATGGTTTGCTAAAAATGAGGATGATGGTGCCATTGTTAGAGAATTGATACCAACTGATGAGAAAGGGCGACCATTAGATGACTCTTTACAAGGTAATGATATATACCAATTTGCATAAAATGAAGTTGTTGCTTTATTTACAAGACACATTTTGAATGTTTTGTGAAAGTTCTCCAATTGTATTAATTACAAATGATGTTTGATTCACTTTTTATAAATGGGCAGTGTTTTTCACTAAATATTTTCTCTATTCACAGAAGTAGAATATACAGTTAAGATTTGTACTGGTGACGTCTGGGGAGCTGGTACTGACGCCAATGTTTTTGTTAATTTGTTTGGTGATAAAGGTGACTCTGGAGAAAGACAAATGAAAGATTCTAACAATGCTAATAAATTTGAAACAAACAAGGTAAACTTTTTTTTCTGACCAAATTGCATACAAATTACACACGTGAAATAATACTGAAGATTCGCGTCTGTGACAAAAATCAGCAACAATGACTGTTCGTGTGTCTTACTCATGCATAGATATCAATTATTTGATTTGCTGTTTGTATAATGGTTGACACTCTGTGAACAAATATGCTCTTAAGACAAAAGAGAAATGATCTAAGGGCCTTAGATTGAACCATTAAATTTTGGTATTTTTTTAGGAGGATATATTTACTATAAGAGCTATAGAGTTAGGGAAACTGGTAAAATTAAAAGTAAGACATGACAATAAAGGAGGTGGTGCCGCCTGGTTTTTAGATAGAATAGAAGTTATTGATGAAAAGAACAAAAAGAGGTATGGATCCATTTTTAATGAGTCTTGAGCTTTAATACATTCTCATTACAAGAAACTCCCTTTAGAAGAAATACCTAGAACAATACTAGAAACATTTCGAAAATTCTACACTTGTTTGTATGATTGGAATCTTCAATTCCTTGAAAAGGATAAAGTTGTCTGAAGAGTTGCTTTACAAAACTTATTTCTAGCTATCCTTGGTATTTTAAAAGTAAAATCCTATGATAGATTCCTGTATTAATCGCTAAAATCCTGCTTTAGAGGTTTAGACTGGCATTGCATCTAGTTGTTATAGATGATGCTACAATTTCAAAAACAATGCGAGTGGAAATTCATAAACTTTTGTAAAATGAGCATTTGTCATGATTAAGTATTTTTGTTTCCAGTTATTTCTTCCCTTGTCAAAGATGGTTGGCAGTAAAAGAAGATGATGGTCAAATCTCTAGAGAATTAGTTCCTGTTGATCAATCACTGAAGAAAAAACTCACAAGAAAAGATTCTAAATCAGTTTATAATGAAATAGCTTTGGAACAAAAAGGTAAGGTGATAATTTTGCAATTGAATGCAAACCAAGAGTATTTTTTGCTTTTCTAGCTGTACTGACCACTCTATATCTTGAAATTAGTAAAATAAGAAGTTATATTGCCATTTTAGATAAAAAATTTGCTTTGAATATCATGGACAACATACTCAACCTTGGTATTCAGATGTATTAAGGCTAATCTCAATGAAAGGACTGGCCTCAGTCACAGAGTAGACCTAAGCTTATTAATAATGTCCGAACCTTGATGATAATGCTCCAAATACATGCTAACAAAAATCATTACAAATCTTGCACTATGAGAAATTATTGTGGTCATAGAAAAATCTGTTTAAACATTAATTACTATTTTGTTAGTTGGAACATGGTCAGTGCTGGGAAAAGAGACAACTTGGTTATGCTAACCATGATGAAGTTTTGAAATCGAAAGTGACTGACTGACTAATATTTCTATTCTAGCTGCCATGACAACATATAATGTAATGGTTGAAACTGGTAAAAAGTTTGGAGCTGGTACGGATGCCAATGTATATATTATATTGTTTGGTGAACAAGACACAACTGGTAAAATATTCCTCAAATCCTCACTGACTAATAAAAATAAATTTGAGAAAGGTCAGAAAGATGAATTTGTTATTGAAGCTGTACAGATTGGAGAATTGAAGAAAATAAGGTAAGAAAATATCCTGTTGACTTATTCACAAAAACTTCTGATTTGGTCAAGATCTAACTGGTCAACCACAAGACTTTACAACAATAAGTCCCACAGAGGTATTGCTATTAATTTATAAAAATATTCTACATTTTTACATTGTAGAATGTGATGTTAGAAATGTGAGCAATTAAATTTGAAAAGATGATAAAGAAAAGAAAATGTCATAAAGACTAGAAGAATCTTTAATCTCTTAGTGGTCTTATAACTCATATAGAAACTCTATAATGGTGTTGCCCTTTTCTCTGAAAAAAATTCCATTTAATGAATCGTCACTTCAATTTTGCAATTATGTTTCCTTGATAAAATTAATAGAAAATATTCTGATTTCAAATTTAAAAATAATTTTTTATTCCACTTTCAGAATTGGACATGATAATGCTGGTGGTGGCGGTGCCTGGTTCCTGGAGAATGTAGGTATAGATGCCCCATCATTAGGTAGAAAATGGATCTTCCCCTGTGGTAGATGGTTGTCAGATAAAGATGATGATGGAAAGTTAGAACGTGAATTATATCCACAAGAACTAGCCACAGAAGAATATAATCCATGTAAGTTGGAACATCTTTCATGATAGTCCTTTATTTTTATCACAACAAAAATTATACAAGTTAATAACAACTTCAATAGAACACTAAACTTTTGTGGTTTTTTGGCTGGAAATGAGTTCACCCACTGGAAATATACCAAACTTGGTAAGATGTACAGTCATAATGTGATTGGATAATAATATTAACATAAACAAACAAGATTTTTGGTTGTCTAAAACTCTGTTAATACAACATGAATCATTCATAGCATACTGCATTAGTCTAGAGAGTCTGAGACATTTTCTAAAAGTGTTATAACTGGATGATATTGTAGGTATACCCTATGAAATAACTGCATATACAAGTGAGAAATCAGGAGCCTCGACCGATGCTGATGTGTATATTGTATTATATGGTAAAGATACTTGTACAGAACAGAAATCACTTTGTCCAACCAAACGGGAAAGAAAAGAACATTTTAATAAAGGCAATGTTGATAAATTTATAGTTGAGGTTTGTAGATATTTTGACTTTTTTTTCAGTACCCTCAAATGGATCAAATCAAAAATAGCTTGAGAGGGAATTGACTTGAAGAATCTGAGAGCAAATGTATTTTAAAAGACTGCTAGTAATTAGCAACAATTTAATCAACCTAAGAACTCATATTTCCAGTTGTTGCCAGTTCCTCATCTTCTACTTTCTAGCAAACAATATTTTGTTGTATAATATATTACAGCTTGAAGATGTAGGAGAGTCAATAGAAAAGATACGTATAGGACATGATGGTACTGGTTTAGGTTCTGGATGGCATTTAGACAAAATAGAAGTCAGAAAACTCCATGAGACTGGCAAGGTGAATTTTACTCCTTTTTATTTTCAGATATTATTAATGAACTAACATTTAATCAACTTCAACATCATTAATATAAAGTCAGCTATATGTGATTATGTTCTTAGTTATCCCTGGGTGTAAATAAATATTGTTTTCTACAATACAGCACATTACAACATTCACTATTTATATTGTATTTCCAATTAATGCTTATAGAGGAAACCAGGTTTGGCTAAAAAAGTGGTGAGTTCTTGAGTGAAATACATTGAATTCTAGTTCTGCTCCTTTCAATGTGTGTCGTGCTATCTATTTGCATTCAGCATTATTTAAGAGCCTCACTTCTCACTTCTCACTTCCGCTTGCTGAATTCAGGTACTCCACAATTTTACACACAATTTATCATTTACATAGAACATAAGGGCTAAAATTATACTTTTTGTGATCTTTTTTGACACTTTTTATGAAAACTTATCTTTTATACCTATTATTGTTAAAGATAGTGGGATTTCCAGTTGACAAATCTTGTTACAGAAAGTCCTTACAATGCTTTTTTTACCTAAGAATTCTTTCATTTGGTAGAATTTTACTGATGAATTTCATGGCAAAATAACTGCTTATTGATACCTGGAGATTTAGATATGACATAGTCAGAAATTTAGCACATCAATGGAAGATTCAACAAATTTATAATAATGTTGGAAACTAGTGAGAAGAGTTCTATAAATCTATAAAATTGAGCTGATATTATCTTAATGATTGTTTCTAGAGCTGATATTATCTTAACGATTGTTTCTAGAGCTGATATTATCTTAATGATTGTTTCTAAGCACCTTCTAATCTAACTACGTGTGTACACTGTATATTTAATCATATTTATTATTTTCTCTTCACTCTCTCAATGCACCATTATAATACCTGATCTTCTCTTCTACTCTTGATTGGATTAACAGAATCAGGTAAGATGCTTGATTGAATTTGATTGATTATTAATAAGCTTTGTGATCAGAAATGAAAACAGTATTGTACATATGCAAATATGATCAAAGCCAAATCTTCTGTATGTTTTCCTAAAATGCCTATAAAATCTTGTTGGTTTTCCACTTGAACATTAAGAGCAGCTCTTTCAATTCGCCTTGACTTTTAAATCAACAGATGCTGTATCAATTCTTTTATATACAAATGGAGTGAAAGCATCAGATGAAATATTCTTGGAATTAACTTAAGCCTTTTTTTCCTTTTGAAGAATACAATAGAAAGTATGTAGTCTTCTGTTATACAGATGAAAGAAGTGGTTTTTGAAATAAGAATATTAACTAATGCTGAATTTTTATTTTCTTGTAGGGATCTATAACCTATACATTCCCTTGTAAACGATGGTTAGCTAGAAATGAAGAAGATGGAGCTATAGAAAGAGAACTATTACCTGATAAAGTTGTGAAAGAGGTAATTGGTAAAAATGGTGAAGTGAAAGCTAAAGAAGTCAAAATCAAGGACAAACTGAAAGGTCTGTTACTGAACTTGTTTTAAACTGTAACATGTTAAAACTTCATTGTTCTGTCTCGTAAAGAAATAAAAAATTCAAATTTCGAGAATAAGAACTCAAAAATGTATCATGCTTGTCTTGAAACTATGACACAACCACCATCAGAATCATAAGAATAAACCACAATAACAGATGGGAAGAGAGAGCTGAAGGTTGATTACCAAGTTGTCTTTAGGTATAAAAACATCATTCCTCCCTGGTCTAGTAAGTTTACTTGCTGTTTGATGAGAGGTGGATTTCATATTTCAAAAATTTCTACAGCTGAAAATAAGCTTTTCATATAGAGAATTATATTTTGATGTGTTGTGTAATTCCAGCTAAGACCTATACTGTAAATGTTATAACTGGTGACAAATCTGGTTGTGGAACAGACGCCAATGTTTTTATCACTGTATTTGGTGACCGTGGTGATACAGGTGAACGTAAATTACATCAATCTGAAACTCATAGAGATAAATTTGAGAGAAAACAGGTAAATATATTGTTCCTAATAAAATTTCTGAAATTTATAGTTCAAACCCAGTTTTTCTACCCTATCTATTTTAATGTCAAGAATATATGATTTTTGGAATGAAGTCCAAGGAAGACCTATATTACAGAAGCGTATTAGGGCCATTCATTTTTTTTTTTTTTTTTTTTTGAATTTTCAAGTTAGTATGTTGAATTTTCAAGTTAGTAACTTGAAAATTCGAGATACTAACTTGAAAATTCAAGATACAAACTTGAAAATTCAACATACTAACTTGAAAATTCAACATACTAACTTGAAAATTCAAGTTACTAAATTCAAGATACTAACTTGAAAATTCAAGATACTAACTTGAAAATTCAAGATACTAACTTGGAAATTCAAGATACTTACTTGAAAATTCAAGATACTAACTTGGAAATTCAAGATACTAACTTGGAAATTCAAGATACTTACTTGAAAATTCAACATACTAGCTTGAAAATTCAAGTTACTAACTTGAAAATTCAAGTTACTAACTTGAAAATTCAAGTTACTAACTTGAAAATTCAACATTCTACGCTTCCGTACTATATACATGTTAAACTCTTTTTATTTTCAGACTGATGTATTTAAACTAGAAGCTGTAGATTTGGGTAAAGTTTATAAGATTAAAATACGTCATGATAACTCTCTATTGAACCCCTCCTGGTTCCTAGATAGAATAGAAGTTCTAGATCCTGAAGACAATGAAACCTTTATATTCCACTGTGAAAGATGGCTTGCTAAAAATAAAGATGATGGTAAAATTGAGAGAACTCTTTATGTTAAAGTGAGTATATTTGTAGCATTTCATGGACTGTTTTCCAACTTTCTAAATGGTCCATACATATGGATTATTTTGCTGTGAACGTAACTTCAGATAAAGTGCTTGGGTTTAAAAATCCTTGAGCAGATGAAATTCGATAGGGGAATTGACACCCAACCCTGAAAAATTGGAAATAAATCATATATGAAAACGCAATGACATATCTTTCAAATTAAATTTCCTGATGAAGCAGAGACATTATTGATCAACCACTTGATTTTTCCTTGTCAATTTAAATACTGAGTTATCAGGACCTTTTGTTTTTAGGGGTATGATGGTGAGATGTCTAGTACTGGAACTCTTCGTTCTACTAAGATAGGTTCAGTATCCAGTTTAGATTCTATACGAACTAATGATCCATTCAGTAAGAGTCCCAGATTAAATCGTAAACAGTTATCTTCATCATTAGAAGATGTCCCTGAAGGAGGACCTTGTAAGTATTGCATTGTAAATAGAGATATTAAAATATTATTGTGAGGTTTCTAAGGTTGAGTTGACAAATCAAATCACAGATGTCTGCATCAGGAATTATTACAAAGGGCTCAGATTATGTAAGTTTTTTGGACATGGAAACAAGAGCTTAAAGTTGATGAGTTGAAGAATCAATGAGTTTGGTGTAACTTTCAGAAAGGAATGATAGGATCCTTACAGAAAATTGCATTTGTCTTCTGTTTTTTCAGCTATTTCGTACACTGTGAAGGTCTATACAGGAACAGGTGAAGATAATGGTACTGATAGTAATGCCTGGATTACAATCTACGGTCCTCGTAAAAAATCAACAGGAAGACAATATCTTGACTTAGCTCAGAAATCTGGATTTGAACCTGGATCATTGGAAGTATTTTCGTTAGAAGCTGTTGATATTGATGAAATTAAGAAAATTGAGGTATAGATAAATCACTTTATTATAAACCAAACTGAATTTTTTTATTCAAATTCACAGGAATATCTGTGCATGAAATACAAAGGTAGTGTTAGGAATCCATGCATTAATGTGCCCATTTGGTAACTATGAAAATATAAATTGATTTACTCTGATTTTCATTCCAGATTGGACATGATGGTACCAAGCCAGGTACAGGATGGTTTATTAAAGAAATGGAAGTTGATATGCCAACTAAAGGCAAACACTATCACTTCAGTTGTAATCAATGGTTGGCTAGAGATAAGGGTGATGGCAAGACAAGTCGTATATTTAGTGTCAGTGATGGTCAGAGTTCAGTTGTATCTTATAAACCTAGTAAGTTATACTGTAGAATATTCTCATCCTCTCATTTTCACTGCTGATTGAGTTCGGTTTCTATATTCAATTTCCTCAAAATTTACCACCATTTTTCAATATAATTATTTATATTACCAGATATTACTAATCATTTTCATTGGTTTGATACTGTAAATTAATTATATTCAACTTTTTTCAAACAAACAGTAAAATTCAGTATAAATGCCTTGGCTTGCTTTCCTTTTTTGATCTTGAATTTCTGAAAAGTTCCAAAGCTTATATCACATGATAATTTCAGTGATAAGTTATGAATTAACAGTATATACTGGAGATGTATCAGATGCTGGTACTGATAGTAAAATTACTATGACTATATTTGGTAGTAGAGGTTCCACTTCACCAATAGAACTGGACAAAAATCAGGATAGATTTGAACGAGCAAAGGTTGATTTCATGAAAGTAAGAGTTACACGTTTTTAATTTATTTGAAGATAACTAAAATTCCATGCAATTCTAGCTACCAGCTAGCTCTGGGAATGATAAAAACCATGGTCACACATATCCTGACACAATCAGACATTAGATTTAAAGCACATTTATATTGATATTATAGATGGATTTAGAAGATATAGGTGATGTGAAGAAAATGAGATTATCTCTAGATGGCAAGGGATCTAGACCAACTTGGTTCCTGGAGAAGGTAAGCTTTAACTGATATATTATAGACTATTGGTCTTTATCTGTCATTGTCCACTAATGTTAAGGTTCATGTGTTTATTGAATTCACAGTAAACATAACTCTTAGTTGTGTTTTATCAGAGCTCCTTTTTATGTATCTACTGAATTTTAAAACAACAAATTGAATTGATGACCTGTGAAAATGTATTTAACAGTTACAGTTTTATCAGTTTGAATTTTTGTATTTATTTTGTGATGTTGTTATCAAGTGTTATTGAAGTATGGTTTAATATATTTTAGGTTGAGTTAAGAAACATGGAGACTGGTTCTTTATCAGTATTCCATCTAAAAGATTGGTTAAGTAAAGATAGCATGTTATCAAGAGATATACCAGCTACTGAACGAGGCAAATTAGTCGTACACAGTAAGTAATCTTACTTTATAAAAAAAAAATTGAGTAAGATCACAGCTTTTTGGATATTCGGATGAAACTGGATATTCTAAGATATTTTAATTTATATAATTCAGATATCTCATTTGAGACCTAAACTTACTATGTGTAAAGAAATGCAATTTCAGTTCATGCCATTATTTTTTCTACAAACTGATACAATATGAAAGAATGACCTTTCATATAAAAGCTTGTTATTTCAAATTGCTTGGATAGCATAAATTTGAATGTAAAGTTAATTTAAGAAGTTTATCAGTTAAGGAAGCATGTAATTGCCCTTGTCTACCCCCTCACAAGTGACAGCTGTGTTGATATTAATGGGATATCAGGAACATATGCATTTCAGATCTTATAGTCTGAATTACCAAACATTATCGTTGGAAATATTAAAACTTTACTTTTTCAGAAACCAGCTATAAGGTTAAAGTGAAGACGTCCGATTTAAGAGGAGCAGGAACTGATGCCAATGTGTATATAGTTATGTTTGGAACTAATGGTGATTCTGGGGATATCCATCTTAAGAAACCTGAAGGTGGTAGATCTCCGTTTGATAATAACCAGTTGGATGAGTTTATATTAAATGATATACTCAGTGTTGGTGAACTCAGTAAAGTCAGGGTATGGCATGATAATAAAGGTAAGAAATGTTTCACTGTTATGCTGACATTGTCATGGTTCTACTTTACAACATTCCATTTTGAAGCCATGAAATGATTCTGGTTGATGTTTTCACAATGAAATGGATATTGTCATCTAAGTCTTCTGTTTTTATTGCTTTGATAGTCAAATTTTGCTTATCTGTAGCACTTTTACGAATTAAAAATGTGAGATCTGGTTCCTCCATAATTGAACAACTGTCTATTAGTAATAGTTTGCCCACTTCTTAACTACAGAAAAATTTACTTAACATGATCTTTGAACCTAATACTTGCTGTTGGTCAAAATACCATGTGATTGTGGAAATCATAATATCAGTTTAGCCACTGTAGTTTTTTTTCTGGTAATTCTAATTGACAATTGTTACAGGATTTGGTTCAGCATGGCATCTATCATATATTGAGATAGAAGATTTGAGAAGTAAGAAAGTCTATATGTTCCACTGTGATAAATGGTTATCAACTAGTGAAGATGATAAACAAATTATAAGAGAGTTAACTTGTAGTAATGCTGCTAAACCTGCTGGTGCTGGTAATAAAGATAAAATTAGTAAGTTGTAACTTTACTGTAGAAGATAACTAGAAAATCAAGGTTTTGTTGTCATGCTTTTGGTGTTATTTCCCTATTTCTATTTTTATATTTGTTTTTGTTAATTCAAGTCTGCAAAAATAAATCAATTCAGACTATATCTTCTATAACTAAGTTACTATGTCTTTATAGCATATGATATAGAAATAACTACCACAGACAAGAAAGAAGGTGGAACCATACATAATGGATGGATTGTATTAGAAGGTTTGAAACGTAAATCTAATATATTTCTTCTAGAAAATAGTCCACAAAGAAAAATACTAAGACGGTAAGCGATGGGTTCTAATTTAGCCTCAAAAAATTCAAAATTTAAAAAGTTTTAACGACAAGAGTTATATATCATTGGTAATCAAAGAAGTTTTCTCATGTCTGTTTGAGCATTCAGGGATACTTATAGCATCTTTTTCCACTCTTCTGATTTTGGACCAATAGAATGTTGGTCCTGTAATTTCAGAGAACTTGACCAGATTATGATGTCGCTATCGCAGTTACTTTTTAATAGCCAAGACCCTTGCTGATTTACTATCTATGATTTCTATTTAAAGTTACTGTAATCAATATGTTCATTTATTTTCAGAGGTCAGACTGATCATATAAAGAAAGAGAGTCTAGCACTAGGTAAAATAAAGACCTGTATATTAGGAGCTGTAGAAAGAGAGGACCAACCTATAACAGATGATTCTGGTAGAGCAGCTCAATGGCATTGTCATGATGTAACTATAACAGATACTTCTACTGGAGACAAGTAAGATTTTATTTCTGGATAGTCAAGTCCACATAGCTAATAATGTTTATTTGGTATATGTATTACTTTACAATAGACTGATGACTCTTGGTTAAAAATATTGTCTGGATTACTTCTTCTATCTTCAAGGGGGTCAAGGGTGTTGTCTGTTTTTCAGAAGGCCATGCCAATGGAGCTGTGGAAAATCCCAGAAAATTCCTTCCCATGTGAATGCAAGCATTGCAGAGAATTAGTTCAAGCGGAAAACTAGTAGTTTGTGGTTTTGATAAAAAATAAATCTGTTGTGACATTTTCCTGGACATTTTCTGACACATCTTTCATGTGGTTGTTTCCTGTTTTCATTGTTCTGACCGTTTGTTCTTTTATTATTTGTAATTGTCAACAACTATATTTTTAGATATAAATTCCCATGTAACCAATGGATACCAATCTGTACTAAGATATCTAAACATGATGCTGTAGTATTAAAACTTAAAGATGTAGAGGAAGGTTTAGTACCAGTTGTTAGAAGTAAGTTGAACATAATCTGTACTTTCATTAACAATACAGTTGTTCAGTTGCCAAGTGCACTTAGCTTCACCAGATCAGTCAATTTGGCACTTTGTCTAATGTATTCATTGCCATATCTGTATTGGTTCCTCTATCTTCACAATTGAATCTTTTGCAAGGGTTTTGTTTTCATTCGAAGAACATTTTGACTATTAATTTGTATATTTCCAAGATTTTGTCTTAAATGTTGTATGGATTATCTAATTATTATTTAATTATTCTAATCAAATTCTGTACCTTTTCCAGATTTAGCACCTATTAAATATGAAGTGATAGTCTATACTGGTGATGAAAAGGGGTGTGGTACCAATGCCAATGTCTCTATAACTCTGTTCGGTGCCAATGGTGATACTGGCAGCCGTCCATTAAAACAAAGGTTTAGAGACCTGTTTGAACGAAACCAAATTGACAAATTCCAGATTGAAGCCTTAGATCTAGGTAAGCTGAATTTTGTTTGAAATCAGAAAAATGCATATGCCAGTTCCCAAAGATCTTGAGTTGGTAGCTCAGTCTGAAAAATTCCAAGGAATTAGCAATCCCTGAATTCTGAGAAGTGATATATATAGCTGATATTGTCCTCTATCATTTGGTTATAAAAAAGGTGATACTGTTCTTATTGTAAGCAAGGCAAGAAGCAAATGGATTTCATTTTGAGTTTAATGTTATTTATGTTTTTGCAGGAGAAATGACAAAAATTAGAATAGAACATGATAACAGTGGATTCCGTCCAGGATGGTTTTTAGATAAAGTAGAAGTAATCAATATGGCCACCAATGTTACGTCCTTGTTTCCATGTAATAAATGGTTTGATAAAGATAAAGGTGATGGTGAAATCTGCCGTGATCTCTTCCCTAAAAAGGATTAAATGATCTCTTAATATTAAAACCTGAAAGTGCTTTAAAATATCACACGATACCATATCAAGTGACTACTGCAAAAGAACTAAAATGGAAGTTGCTATGTTTTGTTAGAATATGTTGAGACATTCCATTGTTTGATTTTGAATTGTATAAGATGTCATCTTATGTCTAAGATGTATATTCCTGTTTAATTTATATATATTTACACCTTATACTTATATTTATATCAATTACACAATCTATTCAATATACATGTATTTATTATTTCTATTATCACCAAGATGTATAATAGACCATAGATTGTAAATTATAAAACCACAAGTTTGTGCCATTACCAAAATTAGTTGTAAATTATGTTGTTTTTTTGAATGTGGCCAACTTTCCTGCCTTTTATCCGTAGGAACTAGTACTGTTGCAAAATTGAATATAAAAGTTCATTTTGAAATAAATGGGTTTTATGCTCTTTAATTTTAGAAATTATTTGTTAAACTTGTTTACACCTACATATTCCATTTAATAGTTTTTACTGAACATTTGTGATATTTTAGATATTTTTGAAAAAAAAGTTTATTTTAACAAATCCATTATCCATTATAATCAAAATGTAAATATGTTTTAGTCCTCTTTTTTAAAATATAATTTTTCTTTTTACACAAAATAGTCTGTAGCATGATTCATTATTTTTGAATGTTATTTTCAAGCCTTTTAATTGATTGGATATTCTTAAATTAAAATTTGTATCTGCATGAATATGCATAAATCTGAAAAATGCCTCTTGTCAAATTTCATGTCACAGATCATGTTTTATGTTTAAAACAACATCTTGATCTTGAATAGAAATGCATTTTGTTATAAAAAAAAAAGGGCATGTCTCAATGTACCCCACTCTCCCCTACTTCAGAATGATCTGTTATATTATTATGATCTCTCATACTTTGCCTTTATATTCTAATAAATTGTATCTTAGTTATTTTATAAAGTTTAATCTACTGTTAAACTAGTTCAAGTAAACTACATGATTGTATAATTAATTGCCTTATTATGTTAACATACAGAACTCAGTCTCATATATTGTCACAAATTGTAGAACTTACTTTCAATTATGGAATTTTAAATGGAAAGAACCATCATTGAAACTAGTTGTTTGATGTGTGTTAATTTGAATTTCATTTGACAAATGTTTGAATGGTTCAATAACAATGGTTAATTTTTTTTCTTATGGGTAATAATTGAATTGTAATATATCTTTTGTTGGTTTATTAAAATATTTCTTAGTTACCAATACCTATGAGAGATACCTCTACTTTTATTTTATTTATTTCATTATTATTGTTATCTTTATTAATATTTATTAAAAACCATCTACTATTTCACAATTTGTATGTCTAGAATCTACTTAATTTTTCCTGCCCTTTAAGGTTCAGCACAGACTTTGTATTTCACAGCAATGTAAGAACGGAGAAAACTGCATCACACAGTACCTCAGAACAGTCGAGGGTAAGGATGTCCTGTTTTCTTGTGGGGCAAAGTGCCATTGTAGAATAGCTAAGGGTAGAGTCAGCGGTTGGGCAAGATCTGAGGTTAAGCAAGATTTGAGGTCGATTAGAGTCATACAGAGGTTGCTTAGAGCAAGCCTATCTGTAGTTGGTTAGATTATGACTATCAAAGGTACGTAAGATTAAAGGTACGAGCACACGAATAATCTTGTCATAAGTTTCACCATCCGGCTGCGGGCGCACGAGGAGACAAAAATCTCCAGTCGGATCATGCAATAGAAAGGAAAACGAATCCGATTGGATGACGACGCTCTGTCTTGCAGCCGATAAAACAATCTGCAACAAATATCAAATTGGTCTGACATAAATCCTGTCGACAACGCGGGTACACGTGAGATTTTACTCAAGATTCGAGTGGCGACAAAAATTGACGACCAAGACTTGTGTGCCCTTGATTTCACGTGACTTAACTTTCCTTGAAGCAAATATATATTTTACTTCCATTTCAAATCGCAAACCAAAACAATAAAATCGGATGGTAAAATATGACTTAAAAGTTACATAAAATGCCTTGAGGTCGTTACAATTCAATCCATATAAAATGGATTTTTATGTCTGATTTTCGTGGTCCAGTTTTTGTTAGTTTTATATTTTAATTGAGATTTGTTTTTACAGAGGACAATATTTGTGACTTTTGGGGTTGAAATTTCTAGGAGAAAAATATGTTTTTCTTCAATTTAAACGTACAAAATATTATATCTTTATCAAAACAAAGTCATTCTACGACTAATAGTTCTATTTGAGGCTGATATTCCAATTTTCTTAAGAAATAATTATAAAAATAATTAAAAAAACTTTTCGATTTGCTCAGACAATAGTTTGAATATTCAGCCACCTATATAACTCTTTGAATTTGAAATCATCGGAACTCAAAGAATGATAGATGAAATAAACCTGGCATTAAAGGAATACTTCCCTTTAGAATAAAAATAAAATTTCGATTTTAAAACTTGGCCAATAGGAGTATATATTGAGCTTTGGACCTCCCCAGCACCATAACTATAGAACAGACCCCCCATCGTAATTATCCATAAGCATTGAAAAACGCTTAGGAGAAAAAGAAACAAATTCAAAATGGCTGTGAACTTATTGTTAGTCCAAAATATCTACCTCTATTCCAGCCTCTGGTGGATATTTTGACAGTTGTCAGCAGGAGTAGAGTCAGAATTAAAGACCATGTTAAATGGGGATTTTCCACACCTCCAAAGATGCGTTTTCTCTAACATAGTATTGAATTACCTTTAAGATGATTGTAAATTAGTGTTGGGCATCACCGTAAATATCATTTTGGTAGTCTCAGTTCCCTCTGTGACCTTTGAACTTTTAGTTGCGCACACAGTTTTAAGAGGCCGATGCTAGATCAGTTTCGCAAGAAAAAAATTTGGTGGAACCGGAGACATGACATAAATGGAGTAAGAAGAAATTGATCGTATGACTGAACTACAAAAATATATTCATCTTTCCTGGGTTTTGCAGATCCATGTATCTAAATAGGCTTAAAAACCCCACACCTGCAGAGATGCGGAATGTTCCCATTTAACAGGGTTATTATTTCTGTCTCTACACCAGCTGACATCTGTCCAAATAGCAATTAGAGGCTGGAATAGAGGCAGATGTTTCAGTCTATACGTTTGAGTGTGTTTTTACATGTAAGAACTATGTAACTGATCTCTCCTATCTGAACAATGTTCACCATTCATTTCAAATCTTACTTTTGTTTCTCATAGCAGTCTGTTTGATTGATTCAGATGTCATTTACAGAACATATCTTTTTAATTCTGATTGGACAAAAAATTCAAATAAACCTATCAAAAGTTCTGTATTTTAAATCAGGTATCGTAGTAGAATTAGTATCATTAGAATCAAACAGGCCATCTGAACACCAATTAATACCATTGTAATTTTATTTAACTGAACACTTTTTACCAATTGTATTGTTTCAACAAATTCAAATCTTTATCTTCAACTGTATAGGGAAGAGTTCACACCGCCATTAAGGATCACAGCAAAAATTTAAAATGTAAAAATTTTGGGGTAGGTTTTACAGATTGAATTATATAAATTGAATCATTTTATTAAAATTTCTGAATAATTATTTAGTTAAGTTGATCTTCAAATTCAAGTGCTCGTGGAGCCCAATAACATAGAAAAATTTATACAGATTTATACGATTTGAACTTATTCATTAAACATACAACCGACCTACAGTTTTTCAAAGCCCAAAGAGTTGCATGAGTTAGGTCGCGGATTTCATTTTTTTTTAAATTCCAAATATTTTCTTTCCATGTCAACACAATTGGAGAAAGAAACCCCAATAGTATATGAATAAGATAGAGCTGAATTAAAGAAATGAAAAGTTCAGTGGAAGACACAGAATATGGATCATCAATTAGGATTGTAACTTACCTCTTATTCTAATCATTTAAAGTGATACAACGTCTTAGAATTAACATTAAATTTAAGAATTTTAAACTTGGCGAATAAGAGCCAGTAGATATACCTGGTGTCATAAATAACATAACAGGATCCTTTATAATCCGATAAATCCAAAAAACTTAGTAAGTAGCCATAAATATGCAATTAACTATTGAAAAACGCTCAGTATCAAGATTAAGCGTTTTTCAATAATTACTTAGTTATATGAATTTTCCAATTTTCCAGAATTTACAGGGATTGTGTTGTTACTTTATGACACCAGGTAAGTAAGTTCACTGATGAATATATACTCAATATATATAGACCAGAACTTAAATTTTATGTTCATTCTAAGACGTATAGTAGTATCACTTTAAGGTATGTGAAACTGTTGCAGTTTCTTGTCATGGACGCAGTTGTCGAACAGAAAAAGATACACCGACCAAATCACTTTATGGAATTTCCATAACATACCAAAATAAGGAGTTGCCATCTTCATTCTTAGTATTAAGAGTAAGGAAGTTCATAGAAACTCCTATGTAAAGCACTGGCCTAGGTCCAAAATAAGAGAGCGGCTAAATATAGTGAATGAGTTAGAACAATCAATGAACAGCAGTCAGATCACACCTAAAATTTGAAACCCCACTATCACTATAAACTCTAGTATTTGAATCCAAATTGCTGCCTGCATTGACTGAATGTGCTTTCAATCTTTTTTTTTTACTATTAACACTACATGTACCAGACTTCTTTATAACTGTTTGTATCATCAGGACAGTTAAGTGCAGTATGTGATGAGGTTAAACATTTATTACAACAATAGATTCTCTTACAATAAGGAAAAGTACACTTTCCTGCACAGGCTGATTCAGACGTACTCCAAGATTAGAATAGCCATTTAAACCCGAAAGATACAATTTTTGTATCAGGCCCGTGTACACATACAGTGTACATTGCAACTTTACATCTGACAGTTAACAAACGACAGCCTGTTGTCAAATTGTTGGTCTTGTAGGCGCAATAGAGGCTACAGTTTTTATCTGATCTTGATGAAATTAAGTATGCATGTATATATTGATGAGGTCCCAGTCAAATTCGAAATTGGTAATAATCGGATGAACTTTTATAGAGTTATTACCCTGTGCATTAGAGGATAATTATTTGAAAATTTATTATTAAGCCACAACAGACTTCATTATTTCTGGCAGCTTTATTTCGTTTTTTACGTGGGTCAAAATCTTTTTTGCTCAAATTTGTAAACACTACAGGCCTAAACATTAAAATCTACAGTAATGTGTCCTTCACTTATTCTTTTTGGAAGCTGTTAGAGTTGCTGATCATACTGCAAATAGACTTGAAATATACCCTTTAAGCACATTTAAATCAACTTCTTATTTAAAAAGTAAATAATCAATACATTATACGAGAAATAAATAATGATATCACCATCTGTGTATATTAAAATACTTCAGTATTGAATAAATCGCAAGTGAGCAATGTCATATCTAAAAGAAGTGTATCTATACTTACTACTTGTACAGAGTTTACTGTATGTGAATGCTCGATTCGATGTATTGAAACGTGAGCCTGGTTTTGTGTATCGCAAGGGAAGTAATTCTGCTATTAAAATGGAAGTTTTCATTGACTTAATGTGTTATGAAAGTCAGGTGGTGTTTCCAGAACTAATTAAGGTGGCTAATGAATATGGACCTGAAGATCTGGAATTGAAAATTCATCTCTTTCCCTTGCCGTATTTCCGAAATGCTCATAAATCAGCAAAGGTAAACATCCCTTCTCATTCAGTTAATCACTACATTACCGTGTACAGTAAAACAACCCCCGCTAGTTGAAATAGAAAATATATTGGCAGTGTGATTTTGCTGAGCTAGAACATTTCCATATCGCATTACTTCTCATCCCTCCATACTTATAACGGTACTATAAGTAGATATAATATCGAAACAAATCAGTGAGAGTACAAAAAGGGGGGTGGGGGGGGGGGGGGGGGGTTTTGAACCCCCTTCATT